ATATAACCCACCCTGAACCCCTCGATTAGATTCCAGTCTGTAACTCCCTCCCCGATATCTGTTAATCTTCACATAATCCACTCCGAACTCTTTGATTAGATTGCACTCTGTAAATTATTCCTCGGATACTTGTTATTATGCTGAACTGGGGCATAAGTCTATCTCCACACCATGTTCTTTCAGACTGCCACTCCCTCTACCGTGACCTTGCCCGACTCCATCCTGATTGGCCCATCGCTTCTGCCATCCTCCTCAGTGGCTACCTGTTTTCTGGCAGCTCAATGATGGAGTGGTATGGCCGTATTGCAGGGGGTCCGTCTCCCATGTGCACGATGTGGGGAATCTGGGAGGCTAGGATCCGGTGTCCCGACGACTCATTGAGCAGATTCGGAGCGGAGGATGGAGAGGGAAGCGACTTACGTCTGTCGTCGGAATCCACACCTTGAAGAGAGAGGGAACATAATGTGTGAGAGAGAGAAGGAAATCTATAACTGAGGGGAGCATGGAGGGAGCAAGAAAGAAATGGGGAGGTAGGATAGTGAGAGTGGGATCAAGTTGGAATGAAAGAGAGAGGATGTGAGGGTAACATTGAGGGAGAGAATAGGGATGAACTTATTACATTTGTACAAGGTGCTGGTGAGACCACATAGATTCATACAGCATGAGGACAGACCCTTCGGTCCAACCAGTCCATCCTGACCATGTTCCCAAACTAACCTAGTCCCACCTGCCTGCATTTGGCCCTTATCCCTCCAAACCTTTCCTATTCATGAACTTATCCAAATGTCTTTTAACCATTGTAACTGTACCTACATCCAGCACTTCCTCTAGTAGTTCGTTCACACAGGAACCACACTGTGTTTTAAAAAAAATTGTCCCTCATGTCCTTTTTAAATCATTCTCCTCTCAACTTAAAAAAAATGCCCCCTAGTTTTGAAATCCTCCACCATGGGGAACCTTTGCTGTTCACCTTATCTATGCCCCTCATGATTTTATAAACTTCTATCAGGTCATCCCTCAGCCTCCTATGCTCCAGTGAAAGAAGTCCCAGCCTATCCATCTGGAGTACTGTGAGCTGTCTTGGTCCCGTTATTTAGGAAAAGATATCATTTCATTGGAGGCAGTTCAGGCAAGTTTTACGAGGATGATCCCCAGTCTGGAGGGATTGTCTTCTGAGCAAAGGTTAAACAGGTTGGGACTCTACTGACTGAGTTTAGAAGACTGAGAGGTGATCTCATTGACATGTATAGGATTCTTAAGGGGCTTGACAGGTTAAATGCTGAGAGGATGTTTCCCCTCATGGGAGAGTCTAGCACCAGATGGTATAGTCTCAGAATAAAGTGGCACCAATTTAGGACCGAGATAAGGAGGAATTTCTTCTCTGAGAATTGTGGATCTTTGGAACTCCTTGCCCCGAGAGCTGTGGGGACAGAGTCCTTCTGTGTATTTAAGGCTGAGACATTCTTGATCAGTGGGGGAATCAAGGGTTACAGATCAAGGGCAGGAAAGTGGATGTGAGGAATATCAGATCAGCCATGGTCCTATTGTATAGTGCAGCAGGCTCGAGGGGCCAAATATGGCTTGCTCCTGTTCCTATTTCTTATGGTCTCATGGGTGGGAGAAGGAGTAGACATGAACATGACCTATTGGAAACAGAGAATGGACCGGGAGAGGAAGGGATGGGGAGAAAGCAAGCTACAATGAGGCACATGATTAAATAGAGACAAAAATGAAGAGAAAGAAGGGCAGGGAGATCGTAGAAAGGTGAGAGGGAGAGAATGTGAAGAAACTATTGAGAGGAGAATGGAAGGGAGATAGAGTGAGTGTGAGGAAGGAAGAATATATGTACAGCCATATATTTGACAGATTAGAAAAAGGAGTAGGCCACTCAGCCCCTCAGGCCTGCTCCCCCATTCAGTAAGATCCAATTACTCCACAACATTTCAGCCCCTTCCTTAAAAGAATGTATCCACCTCTGCTGTAAAAATATTCAAGGACAACAACTCCATCAGCTTTTCAGGAAAAGAATTCGCAAAGCTTACGACCCTCCGAAAGGGAGACGGGGAGAGAAAGAGAGAGAGAGAAATTCCCCCCTCTTTGATTTAAATGGATAATCCTCTAATTTTAAAACAGTGATGCCCTAGTTGCTGATTACCTGATGAATTTTCACACCTGACCTGTCAAAACCCCTTATGATTGTACAAGTTTCGAACAAGTCCCCTCATACTCTTCGAAACTCCAGCAGGTACATGTCTAGCCAGTACAACCTTTACTCATAAGGCAGTCTGCTCATTCCAGATGTAATTCTGATAAACCTTCTCTGAACTGTCTACGAAAGCATTGATATCCTTGCTGAAATAAGGTGACTAATACAGTATACCAGATATGGTCAAAAGCAGAGCTCTAAAATTGAAGCATAATCTTACTACTTTTGCATTGAGCTCCATTCAAAATAAGCAATATTATTCTGTTAGTTTCCTTTATTGCTTGCTATACCTGCATTCTAACCTATTATGATCCATGCACGCAGACACTAAGATCCCTCTGCATCTCAGTGCTCTGCAACCTCTCACCGAAATGCACTTTTTTTTTGGTTCTTTCTGATAAAATGGATGATTTCACACATTCCAATATTATATACCCATGCCCACTCAGTTAACCCATTAATATCTTTTTACCATCTCCTTGTGCCCTCTTCATAACATCCTTTCCTGCCCACCCTGTGTCCTCAGCAAATTTAGCAACCCTTCATCCGAGTCATTAATATGAACTGTAACAAGTGATGGCCCTAGCACTGATCCCTGCGGAACACCACTCATTACATCATGCCAACCTGAGAAAGACCCATTTACACCTACTCTGTTTTTGTTAAAAACTGAAAGAACTGCAGATGCTGTAAATCAGGAACAAAATCAAAGTTGCTGGAAAAGCTCAGCAGGTCTGGCAGCATCTGTGAAGGGAAAATCAAGTTAACGTTTCAGGTCCAGTGACCCTTCCTCAGAACCGCTGTTTTTGTTAGCTAGCCAATCTTCTAGCCAATGCTAGTATGCTATCCCCTACATCATGAGCTTTTATCTTCCAAAATAACCTTTAATGAAGCACTTTAACAAACACATCCTGGAAATCTAATGTATAGTATATCGACAGCTCCCCTTTCTCCACAGCACATGTTACCTGCTCAAACAGCTCCAACAGATTAGCCAAACCTGTTTTCTCTTTCACAAAACCATGTTGACTCTGCCTGATGCCTTTTTAAGGAGGGTGGAGCAGAGAAGGGAGTGAAGGTGGGAAAGAGGAGAGCGTGAGAGAGACGTGAGAGGAAATAGGATGTTTCAAGAAATGGAAGGATTGGGGTTTAAGGGATTGAGGAGGTGGTGGGTCAGTGGATTGAGGGATTGGGGAGAAGCAGGGGAAGTGGATTGAGAAGAAGGTTGGTCAGTGGATTGAGGGATTCAAGAGAAGGTGAATCTGTGATTGAGGGATTGGGGAGATGGTGTGTCGGTAGGGATTTAAGGACAGGCAGGAGGAGGGATGGATGGATTCTGTGGCATCGTTACCGGGAACTGGAGTGAGGTTCTTGTGGTCGAATAGCTGCTCCACATGATTCAGGATGAACTCGACAACAATGGACTGGACGCGGACCTCCATGAATGCTGCCGTTCCATTAAATCCCGATGATTCAATCTCCTTGGACCTGGAAGGAGGGAGGTGTTTGGTGGGCAGCAGAGGTATTGAAGACAGCAAGGGATTAAACCAGCGTTTGACCCTCATCTCTTTCCCCTATGCCTCTACTCTGCCTCTTTTTCTGCTGTGCATGCCAGGATCATAAGCAACAAGAGTTGCTGGAGGCCATTCAGCCCCTCCAGCCTGTTTGCAGCTGTATCATTACCTCAACAATTTCTTACCCAGTCCCAATTTTCCCTCTTCCCTTAGTCCACCCAAAAAATGTGGGATTCTCTGTCTGGAATACACACTACAGTGGCTGTCTCCTACCCCCGTCCCCTCCAAAAGCCTGTCCATACATTTAATGGGATCTTGCCGAGGGTATTTTGTCATCAAGAAATCAATCTTTGAGGTGAGGCTTCTATTGATAATCAGTCACCAATAAATGGGTGGGCCACAGTTGGCAATACCAGGAGCTTGCTGGGCCATTTTGGGGGGTACGTCTCTGAGGGTCTAGAGTCAGACCAAGATACAAAGGCAGAATTCCAACTCCAGAGGACATCAGCAAACCAGATGGGCTTTTATGGCATTGGCTATTTTCACGATAACTGTGAGAAATGGGAGTTCTACATCTTCGTAGAATCCCTACACAGTGTGGAAGCAGGGCATTCAGCTGATCGAGCCCACACCAACCCTCCAAAGAGCATCCCCACCGCTCTACATTATCCTTGTAATCCTGCATTTCCCATGACTAATCCACCTAACCTGGACACTATGGGGAAATATAGCATGACCAATCCACCCCAACTTGCACATCTTTGGACTGTGGGAGGAAACCCACACAGACACAGGGGAGAATGTGCAAACTTCACACAGACAGTCACCCGAGGTGGAATTGCACCTGGGTCCCTCACACTGTGAGGCAGAAGTGCTAACCACTGAGCCACTGTGCCGTTTCATTGATAAATGAATTGAATGACAGTCTCATCAGCCAATTGTTCACCAGAGTCACTTGCCTCAGAAGGTTAGGGGCCCAGACGATAGCCAGGTTCCGAGCATGCATGTTGGTCTTGGAGCTGTGGGAAGCCATTCGGAGCAGATGCCTCATCAGAAACTCCAGTGTCCTGGAGGGAGGAAGAGAGAAAGGAAAACATTACCTCGTACGATCGACACAAGAGGACTCACTGCTTCAGAGTCAGTCAAGCACTAATCTCTTGCAGGGTCAGTACTGAGGGAGCGCTGCACTGTCGGAGGGTCAGTACTGAGGGAGCGCTGCACTGTCGGAGGGTCAGTGCTGAGGGAGCGCCGCACTGTCGGAGGGTCAGTGCCCAAAATCACTGCAATATTTAGGGGTCTCTATCTTTCAGGGATCCTGTGACCCAGTCAGTGGATGAAGAGTCCTGTTGGCAGTACTGGACAGTGTGCGACTTCTTGCTGGTGCCCTGTGGCCAATATTTTTTCCTCTTAAAAAGTCTGATCAAATCTGCTCGCCCGGTCATTTATCACTGTGCTGTTAGCAGATTCCCTTCCACGATTGGTACATGCTTTGGAAAGTCGTCAGTTTGCTGAAAACTGCATTGGGATCAGCTGGGGACAGGCTTGGAGGGCAATCAGGTCAATCTTCTATTCCCTCTGATCATTAACCAGATCAGGCACTATTTCACTAAATGGCAGAGCAGACCGGTTGGGCCGAATGGCCTTCCACTCCTATGTCTGTGGTCTGAACTGACCTCTTGTCTGTAGCAATTTTAGCACAAATATGGGTCAGTCTGGTCCACTGCAACACGGGCTGTTTACAGGCTAAAGTAGTATATCCAAACTCAGACAGTATTAGAATTCCTTGATGATTGCTCCCTCTGTTGAACAAATCCCTTGCCTGCATACCTGTAATGACCGGGCGGAAGATCCTTCAAGACGCTGCATATTTTGAGCAATCTGTCCTCTTCCAGTTGTGTGTTGACAGCATCCTTGGAATGACAAAATATAAAGAGGACAAAGGGTGTCAGCAGCACAGAAGGGAATATCTTACAATAGTTTGCAGGTGACACAAAGCAGGGTGGGAGGGTGAGCTGTGGGGAAGATGTTGCCGAGATGTCACAGTGTGATGTGAACAGGCTGAGTGAGTGGACTAATACAGTATAATGTGGATCAATGGGAGGTTACCCACATTGGGAGCGAACACAGGAAGGCAGATTATTATCTGAATGGAGATAGATTGAGAAAGGGGGAGGAGGTACAATGAGAGCTGGGTGTCCCTTGTACACCAGGCACTGAAAGTAAGTGTTGCAGCTGGAGCAGGCTGTGAAGAAGATAAATGGTGTGTTGGTCTTCCTAGCGAGAGGATTGGAGTACAGGACCGGGAATGTCTTCCTACAATTGTACAGGGGCCTTGGTGAGATCACACCTGGAGGATTGCACACTGTTTCGGTCTCCTTATCTGAGAAAAGACATTCTGGTGATGGAGGGAGTGCAGCAAAGGTTTACCAGACTGAATCCTGGGATGGCAGGACTGACCTACGAAGAGAGACTGGGATCGGTTATATCCACTGGAGTTTCGAAGAATGAGGGAGAATTCTCATAGAAACCTGTAAAATTCTAACAGGTCTAGGCAGGGTAAACACACAAAGGATGTTCCCGATGACTGGGGAGTCCAGAACCGGGGGGTTACAGTCTAAGGATACAGGGTAGGCCATTTCGGAATGTAATGGGGAGAAATGTCTTCATCCAGAGAGTGGGGAGCCTGTGGAATTCTCTGCCACAGAAAGGAGCTGAGGCCAAAACATTGAATGTTTTCAGGATGGAGTTCGATATAGTTCTTAGGGCTCAAGGGATCAAAGGGTACGGGGAGAAAGTGGGAGCAGGGGACTGTGTTGGATGATCAGTCATGACCGTATGGAATGGGGGGGGAGCAGGCTCGAAGGGCAGAATGGTGTACTCCTATTTACTAAGTCAAGGTGTAATGGGTGCTTTACCCTGTTTCTTATATTGTGCTGTACCTGTCCTGAGAGTGTTTGATGGGGACAGTGTAGAGGAAGTTTTATTCAGTATCTAATACCCAGGGGAAAGTCATTGATGAACTTACTGCAAACTTGTCGTAGAGCTGGTACATTAGTAATGGGTTTGGTAATTCTCGGAAATATGCTTTACAAAGCGAACTGACACAGTGAATGTCCTGCAAGTAAACATCCTTGGTAAGATCAGCAGTCTTTTCAGTGTCAAACTCCTGTCTGTGAGAGGAAAGAAGAGAGACAACAAATGAAGTGAATTCAAACCAAATGAGTTAGAGAGACAGAATGAGAGAGAGATGGTCAGAGAGAGAGAGACAGGGCACACAGAGAGAGAGAAAGACATGGGCACAGAGAGAGACAGGGGCACAGAGAGAGGGAAAAAGACGGGCACAGAGAGAGAGAGGGACACAGAGAGAGAGATAGGGCACAGAGAGGGACAGGGGCACAGATAGAGAGAGAGAGAGAGAGAGATTGAAACATTGAGGGAGAAAGTGAGACTGAAACGCAGAGAGAGAGAGAAAAAGAGAGACTGAAGCACACAGAGGTAGAGGAAAGGATAGAATTCAATTGAGTGAACGAAAGATACACTAAAATTGAGGGAGGCAGAATGACAGAGAAAGAGATAGAGAAAGAATTCCCGTCTGTGAGTGGAAGAAATCACACAACACCAGGTTATGGTCCAACAGGTTTATTTGAAAACTCAAGCTTTCAGAGTGTAGCCTCTTTGTCTGGTGAAAAGAGGCATAGAGGCAAAATGACAGGGAGAGACAGAAGGAGAAACAGACACTGGACCATAAGAAAGAGTAAGGTAGAGAGACAAGAGAAAGATTGCTAATCAAACACACACAGAAGCAAAAGAAAGACAAAGAGGAACTGAGATGTAAAGAGTGAAAAGGAGTGAGTCAGAGTCAGGGAGAAGATGAGGGGAGCATTAACAAAACAATGTCCTGTAACAGAGACAGACAGTAATCAGAGAAGCAGATCAGAGAGACAGTGCAAGAAAGGGAGCAGGAATAGGCAGATGAAGATAAAGAGAGAGACAGAGAGAAAGGCTGAGAGCTTGGGATTGGACAGAGTGAGGCAGTGAGTGTGAAGAGTTGATTTTACCGCAATTTCTGGATGTTTGATGATATCCCAGACAATCGATAAATTCCATCAACAATCCCATGTTCTTCAATGAACTGTGAACATGATTTCAGCACCTGGGGCACTGCAAAACAAGTCCATAAGAGGGAGTCAATGAGACATGAGGCAGAAAGAGGCAAACACATGAAAATTGGTGTCTCTCAGTCCTCTCTTTCTCTGTACACTGACTGGAGTCTCTCAGTCTCTTTCTCAGGAAGATAAATGGATGCTGGCTAGTCTCTCTCAGTCTCTCTCTTTCTCAGGGAGATATCTGAACGCTGGCTGGTGTCTCTAAGTCTCTCTCTTTCTCTAACTCTCTCTTTCAGTCATCTCTTCTTTACACTGGTAAATCTTTCGTTCTCTCAGGACAGTGACTTCGGAGATATCTGGGAGATGAGAGACACCAGCCAGCATTCAGCTATCTGGCTGAGGGAGAGAGGAATGAGAGACACCAGTCAGTGTACAGATATCTCCCTGAGAGAGA